ATTCTGGGCTCTCTGCACTGGAATCAAAATTTGTATTTCAGGGGCTGCTTGCAACAGTTGAAGAGAAAACCAGAGCACAAAAGCCCTGTCTCCAAATCAAGGAAAATTCCATATTTCATGATTCATCTTCAGCCACCTCAAAACTGCCTTGGATACCAAGGGGGAAGGACAAGGAGCTGGGGTAGGTTCAGACTAGATATTGAAAATACTGAATATCTTTATTCTGTATTTAATTATTTAGTTTATTTATTTAATAATCTTTAATATCTTTATTCTAAAGGTGGGCAGCCCTGGCACAGCTGCCCAGAGGAAGCTGTGACTGCCCCATCCCTGGGAGTGCCCAAGGCCAGGTTGGCACAACCTGGGGCAGTGGGAGGTGGCAGGGGATGGGATTGGCTAAAATCCAAGCCCAAAAATCCCAAATGTGGCATCCCAGCCCTGAACACCCCAGCCAAGCACCCAAGAGACACCATACACTTGCCAAGTAGCAGCAGCAGCACATTTTTGCCAGCATGGAGAAATCCATCACATTTCTAATGATAATTACTACAAATGAACCAACGTGCTTGTAATTCCACCCACAACAGCAAGCCCACAGACTCCCCATAAAACTCTACAATTTTATAGGCTCTGAGAGGAAAGAAGAATAAAAATCTTCCTTTCTTATTATGCAATCAGCTGAAATCTTACATTTGTCCACAAATTGATTCTCAAGACGGTGGTCCAATCTTCGACAGAGAGAAAACTATAATGAATGCAAGCTTAAGCCAATTATGCTAAGTGTTACTTAAGTTCCAAAACTATCACCTAAACTGCAATTTAAAACCAAATTAGAAAGAAATAATTCACATTCCTCCCCTCCAACAACATTTACATGATAATGAATTTCTGCTTGGGTAATAAGCAGTTAGTTAGTGTTCATATGCTGGAGCCTGGCAAGGAAAGCTTTCTTGTGGGCAGCTTTGGAGCCTGTTCTTTTCTTTAAGATGTTCTAATTTAAATGCAGATGTAGACTTCACACTAGTGGGTTTTGTTTACAAAAAAAAAAAAAAAAAAAAAAAAAAAGAAAAAAAAAAGTGCTGCTGCATTAGAAGGAAGTGACAGAAAGAGGACTCAGCACCATTTTGAGTTCCACATTTTGCACTATCTCATTTTCACTGGGCAGGAATGTGTGCAAGAGGTCTCAAAAATGAGATTACAGCACCAACCCCCCTCCTCCCAGAGGCTTTTCTGGTTCAGGGGTTAACATAAGTGTTTTCCAACTTTTTCCTCTTTAAATTCCAACCTTTTTCTTTTTATTTTTTTTTCTTTTTTTTTATTTATTCTCTCCAAGTCATTCTTCATGCACTTCCTTCCCCTTCAGAGATATGCATGGTCATTTCCAGGAGACATTAAACACTGGTAGCTTTTTCCTGTGTAAATTAGTGAGTCTTAACATTGGAGCTGGAGAAGAATATGAAATCCTGCTGAGCCAGCATCCCCTAAGCTGTTGTCAGAACAATTAAACAATTAAAGCTTTTTTTCATCTCCATGCTCTATGGAAAAAACTTTATTATATTCCCTGCTTAACCCCATTTTCTCTACAGATATATTTATTTTAACTGACATTGTTAACAGTTTGTTTCACACAGCTGAACTAGAAAAATAACTTTTTCTATTCCTTAAACATCCAGCTCACATCCTGAAAAATTATTTCTCCTCACTCACCCTGCAGCTTCCATAGCTGTGTTCTAATGTGGAAATATTTGCAGTGCTCGGATTTTATTTAGAAAATAACCTCTCTGAATTTTCCCTCGTTATAGGCTGGTTTAACATAATTAGTAAATTCTATTATTTGGTGATAAATGGACTCTTCAGCCTAATTAATCCCTTCCCAAGGAACAGACAATTCCTCTACCTGTCTCCTGATCAACAAACTGTTTTTCACTCCTGCCATGTCAAGTATAACCCATTTACACAACTGCAAAACCACTGCTGCAAGAAATCATTTATGTAGTGTGGAAAGCTGACAAATTGCAGCTCCTCTGTGCAAGCAAGAGGGCTGAGAAGTAAAAGCTTCCTGCAATGGAAACAGAAAAAAAAAAAAATAGCCCAGCAAAAGCACTTAGCCTCGAAATGAAACTGAAATCGAGATCTGAGGCAGGTTCAGCATGTTCAGAGTAAGAATGGCACTGTCAAGCAATGGAACCAAATATATTTATTTCATCTTTTTTTTGTTGTTGTTAAAAAAGAAACTCAAGAAGTTCACAATAGAGAAGTCACGTATTTACCCCTGGATCTATAAAGAAAAGGAAGCAGCACCTCTGGAAATGTGCTCAGCCCCAAGAATTCCTAATTCCTGCACACAGCCAACCAATCATTGAATGATTTGCCTTTACCTTATTGCAAGCATAAAACAAAATATCCAAAATTATTAATTCTAGAAACACTAATTGATTCCAAGTCTGCAGATGTTACTTTTAGCTATCAAAACTCAGAGGAGCAACACAGATCTCTAATAAAAACCCCAAAGCCACCAAGCTGCATCTGATCTACTCCCTAAAATTCAGTTTTAAACAGTACCCAGAAGTTACTGCTTGTACCTATCAGTCAGGAAATGAGCACAGAGCTTTAAAAGCACCCTGAGCAGCATGAATTTTTTAACAGACATGGAAGTGAGCTAAAGCAGAATTTAAATAGCATCTTGAAAGCTCTCCTAACAAAATAAGTGAGCTCTCCTCACAAAAAATCACAGCATGAGTTGAAGGCAGGAGAGGTACAACCATGGTTAATTTATAGATTTATAGTCTGAACCACTGCACACCAAAACCACAGAGCTACAGAGACATCCCAAATGTCTGAGAGGAAATACACAAAGAGCAAGCTGGAAATAATAAGAATAGAAGGGTGATGTCCAAGTGATCAGGGCACTTCTGATCCTATTTCAGTCATTTTTCATGACTGGTCTGTAGGAGCAAACTACAGCTTTGCCACTGCTCATGCAAATGTCAAAATTGTGCCTTTTGTTCTACACCAGGAGCCATTTGGGAGAGAAAATAAGGTCATACACGACAGGAGGCAAAATGAATGCAAAGTCTGCAAGGGAGGAAGAAAAAAGCTTCAAGAACAACAGGGAAAAAAAAAAGTCGGAAAAGTCAAAACAATGCATTTATTAAAATATCAAAGTCCTGTTCTCAAAACACTGCAGACTGCAGGCCACAGACCTGCATGAGATCAAGAGGAAACTAGATTATATATATATAAAAATAAGTATATAAATATATATATATATGCACATATACACACTGCCATGAGTACATTCCCAATGAATACCAGATCCAGGGTGTATTTGTTTGCTTTACAGACTGCTGACCATCTTCCAGAAAGCTCCTCCCACACTTGGAGTATTCAAATTTATACACTTGGAGTATTCAAATTTATTAATGTACTAATCAACTATTACAAATTATTATTAATATTGACAAAAGTTTATTAAGTCTTACAAAAAAGATTAGTATTTTTCTTCAGCTCTTAGCAAGATGAGAAAATTTCAGTTTCTTCACCTTAGATTAGCATAGATATTTTATATCTATAGGTGCATTTGTAGCAGAAATTCATTTAATTAAATTAACTAATTAATTAATTAAATTAACAAAGAGCACTGAAGTGATTGGGTTCCAAGAGCTCCCACAACCATGGAACCTGGCACTGGCAGTGCAGCATTTAACAGAATCTCCAAAACAAAACCCCTCATTCTTTGGGTAGGTATCTCTTGAACTGGTACACAAATCACATGCACTGACTGCTCTAATCTTGTCCCTTTTTGGGACAAATTAAAGAATGGAGAATGTCCCCAAGCTCAGCACCAGCACAAGGAAAAGCTCTCTGCTGTTACCCCTTTAGGACCAAGCAGCCACTGCTGCTTCCTGGGCTGTGCAGAAGCAGAGGGAGATGCCATGAGAGTGGCCAGGATGTGATGCTGTTTTAATGCTTGTGTTTAACACAAGTCTCCCCACAGTTCCTTCCCTGCTAAAGCTGTTTATTCACAAATGGGACAATTAGCAATTCCCCCAGGACTCCCATGCCTGCTGTGAGAACAGCAGCCTGTGCTGCAGCCCTGACATTCCCATCTATCAATCTGCATTTCCCTGCTCCCTCCAGTCAATTAGCTGGATTACAAACCAACTAGGATGATTAACCCTCTGGAATTACTTCTCTTTGCTCCTCTCTGAATAAACAAGGCACTGGAGGTGGGATTTTGGATTCATGACTGACACAGCCATCATTCACTCATCAGGTTTATGTCCAGATTTATGACAGATCACAATACACACACAGTTAACAACACTCCAGAAAGAAACTTCCATTTCTTAATCCATTCTGCCACACAGCCAGTAGCAATCCAAGCAACACCAGCAATGCCTGCTGGAGCCACTGTCACAGCCTTTGGTTGGAACTCAGTATCATGGAATATACTACACAGAGTTCAATATTAAACCAGAAACATGTGCCAGCACTTTTTCCCCCTGCAGTAATTCCAAGCTGTTGCCAGGCTGTTAACCACATTCTCCCCAGGGCAATTATGTTCAGCCACTGGGTGGTTTTCACACTTTTTCCACTCTTTTTTTTAAACTTCAACATCTACTTCAAAAACCTGACATGAGTTTAGTGTTACAAATGTATGCCTCGTATATCTCTGCCTGTTAGACCTTTCACAGATGTGTAAGATTCATCTTTCCCAGAGCTTTATTCTACTCTGAAACCACCTTGTCTTTCCTTTTCTCAAAGTAATGAGGTAACACCTTCTCAGGTACATTAAATTCATATTAATTTGTTCAAGAGAGCCTTATATTCAGCAAGTGCAGTTTTTACCTCCACGTGTCTTTTTATTTAAGTGCTGCTCACCTTGAAGATGCCCCTTGACCTCAGCTCTGTGAGCTGACAACTGATCTACATTAACACAACACTTCCAACGCATCGAATTCCTCCAACAAACACTTGAAACCATTTCTCTGTGTTACCTAGGCTGGGAGTTCTCCTCATACATCCGTTCCTTCCCTTCCTTGAAGAGGCTGATGGTCTGCTTGGTTTTTTTCATCAGGTTCTCCATGAAGACCCTGAAATACTCGTTCTCTCCCAGGGTCTCCATCTTGCCCTCGTAGCGGGACAGGATGGTGCGCAGGTGCTGGTAGGTGTCAGGCAGCAGGTCCAGGATGTAGGGGGGGCTGTTCTTTAGGGCCAGTTTGGGGTTTTGGCACAGACGTACCACCTGTGGGGAATGGGGAAAGCAGCTTGGTGAAAAGCCAAGGAGAGGAGCACGATCAGGGGTTCAACACAATTCGCCGTCACAAACACAACGCTCTGAAACGTTTGCTGCAACAAGTCCCATTTGTTGGCTGAGTCCACATTCAATCACAGAATCATTGAGGCTGGAAAACACCTCTGAGATCGAGCCCAACCTGGTCCCCACCTCACCAACCAGAGCAGAGCACTGAGTGCCACTCCAGGCATTCCTGGGCAGCCCCTTCCAAAGCCTGACCACCCTTTCCGTGGAGAAATTCCTCCTGATGTCCCACCTGAACCTTCCCTGGTGCAGCTCGACATCATTTCCTCTTGTCTTGTCACTGCCTGCCTGGAGCAGAGCCCAACCCCCAGCTCGTTATAACTTTCTTTCAGGGAGTTTTGGAGTGATAAGGTCTCCCCTGAGCCTCCTTTTCTCCAGGCTATTTTCTCCAGATAGTGAGCCCAGCCACCATAAAAGAATGCAATTTCTGGGCTGAAGTGCATGTGGACTGATGAAACTCATGATAATAAATTTATGTGACAGGGGAGGGGAAAGGAAGCCACTTCACCATCTGCCATAGCCAAATTTTTCCATTATCTAAACTGAGAGAATTAAAGGGGGAGTTGATGGCAAAGCAACCACTTGAAAAATTAAGTAGTGAACTTTCAGTTATAGAAAGAGCTGCAATTAGAGTTGTGAGGTCAGTTTTGGATCAAGTTTATAAGGTAAGAAACAACAATCTAACACTTCTAGATTCTGTGATTTCCAGCAAACTTGAGCACAAAATGCAGCTACACTTTCCTAAAGTTCTTCCCTATAATGAATTTTATCTGGCTGCTTAACACCCAGAATATAAATGAGGTCTAAATGACACTGCCAGGTATGAGGAATTACAGATATCAAACAGTGCAGAATGCAAAACTTAAGTAAATTGGGTAAGAAAAAGCAGAAGAACAATTTAACATCTTTTTGCAGTACCTCATTTCCACAAAACCTTGTGAAACCTTCAAGAGGAATTGAGCAGTTCCCTACAGTGCACACTTAAATACCTACTTCCTTTAAACATGGATGGTAAACAGAGTCATTCCTTCTGAAACAGTGTTTTAGCACTTTCACTTTGCCATTTTAGGTATGTGCAAAAAGCAACCTTGTCAAGTGACACCTCCAATTTTATCTGCATTACAGCCTGTACCAAGAGCTGACCTGAGAAAGGCTCAATTTCAGCCAAGAGAAATGAACACAGTGTATCAAAACTCAAACCAGAAAAATCAGACTGCCGGTAAAAAAAAAAAAAAAATAAACACCTAAAAAAACCTCTGCAAGAACACATAGGAAAAACAAACTACCAAAACTTTCCCTCCATTTTGAGGAGGCTGCCAAGGTCTTAAGATAAAGAGATGGATGGCCAGACAGCTGACTTAGTCAATTGATGCTGATGCCTCAACTGCTGCTTCCTTGGAGCCAGTGAACATTGTACAATGAACCATATCAACAAATTGAGTCAACACATTTGTGCCCTGCAAAAAAAAAAGTAGTTTCACTATGAGCATGAATAGGTTCTAAATATGTTCCTCAGACCCAGCTGAGCTGTGCTCTGGGCAGCAAAACCTTTTCTTCAGCAGAAATTGTTTATTCTACAGTGGGTTTAAAACCTTAACACAGTCAGCTCTGAGGAGGAAGCCACATTAAGCAAGCAGAGTCTGCACTTCCCTCAGCCAGCTGGAAATAGAGAACAACCTGACTGTTACCCTCTGAAAACACCCAGCTATGGGAGCAGCAGACCTGCTGCATCTCAGACTTTGATATCAATTAGAACAATTCCCCCACAGCAGCAGAGAGTTCTGCAAACTGCTCATTCTCAGAGCCCCCGTAAAATGCTTCCCAAGAAGCAAATACCACAAACAGTTAACAGAAAGGTCAAAACTGCTGGTATTCTACTATCAAATCAGCTTCTTTATTTACCAAGCAGACCAAAATTAGCTAAGAGAGCAGTTAAACAACACTGCATAACTAGGAACTGCATAACTGCTTCCTCCTGAGCAAACTTGGTGCTTTTATAACACAGCAGCAACCAAAGCAGTGGCATTTTCCTTGTTTCTCTAACGTGTGCACTTGCAGCATCATGACAACATCCAAAGGAATGTTCCCAGCCCTGGGAACAGCTGCCCCTCAGCAGCCTTCCACAGGGACCAGCAACGTGGAAGGAAATAGAGCAAAAAGCAGAAAAATATTTTTTTGTTTAGGTGTGATGGCAACGAACAGAAGCAATCCATGGTTTTAAATTATCATTCAAAAGTTTGCCTGGTTTATGTTGTGTTCTCTGAGGAACAAATCTTTCAGGGAGGCATTTTTGGGTTTTTAGACACACCAATAAAGCAGTGAAGAGAGGTGGGCCTGTGAAGAACCTAAAAATTGACTTCACCCATTTCCATTTTCCAAATGCAAGTCAAAAACCCAGTTTTCCCAACTGGGTTTTGAGGAAGCAATCTGTTACCAACTAATTCTAGGAAAAATAATCTCATCTAGATCTTTGAGGCCTGGAACTGAATCTTTCCCCTCAACAATCTGCAGCTTGCCTTGACTAATTCTGGATTTAAGAGTCCCTTCCAGGACAGTTCTGAAAACTCATTTTTTCCTTCCTTTAGCAGCTGAACAACAAACTGTCCAGTGTAAGCCAACAGCAAAACAAAGCCTACTCAAACATCTCTTATCTCTTGCTAGATTTGTGTCTGGCCTTTCTTCTACTCACAATGAAGGTGACCTGCAGTGGCACTTCTCTATATCAGTTCTAGGAACTGAATGGCATCAGGAAACCCTTTAGAGAAGCTTTATCTCAAAGCTCCTCTTCCTCCTCCGTGCCTTCCTACATTTATTCCACTCTGCTCCATCCCAAGCAGCTCATGACTAACCCACTTATTCCTCAAATACCACCCACAGCAGTGAACTCCAGGGGGCTGCATTTAATCTCTGTTCTGCAGAGAAATGCATCAATATCACCTCGTTCAGTTGAAGGGGAGCATCCAATGGGGATGGAAAGGGCTATTTTATGTCCAAGCTCTGTGTGACCACGTGGAGCTGGGGGAGGAATGGTACTGACAAAAAAATTAGAGCTTCAAATGAAAGAATCTGAAAGACATAAATATGTCAGGCAGCTTATGGAGAGCATTACAGGGAAAATATTTGGACAAGAATCAACTTGCATAGGAAATTCATCAGTCACATCCGAAAGCAGAAATGCACGAATACTTTGACAACACCAGCTAATTATGCAGACTAACAAATGAGGTCGTGAGTGTAGTGTACCCACACAGACACAGCACGCAGCTCTCAGAAGCAAAAACATCATCTATTAAACATGCACACAAGCAGGTTTTTTTTATCTGCACCTGGAATTTCACATTCTTGGCCCAGAAATCTAACTCGTTCTCAACACCTTCCATTCATTTAGCTCTTCTCACCATGAGCTTCTTGGGGTTTTTGCTACACCACTAAAAAGATTTTAATTCAGATGTGCTCTCTTGAGCGTGCATAAGTACAGCTGAAATCTAACTGAAATCTGAAAGGCTTTTCAGAGCCAGGTCTCTCCTTTTGTACAAACCAGACTGAACAAGACTTCAAGCCTGCGAGTGTCTGGATGCTGCCTAGGAGTAAACCTGGAGTCAAAAGAGGTTGATGTCACTTGTGACAAACACAGCAGCAGCCTTGGCTTTTCTGTGAGTGGAGAGAGAACACATCCAACCGGCTACAAAGACCTAAAGCTGTGAAAATTCCCCCTAGAAAACATCCCACTGCATTTTAAAATGCCACGATAATCAGCTTTTTTCAGGCTAGTCTTTTCCTTCGAATAGAGCAGGTTATGAGGTCAAACACAAGTTGCCATCTCTATCTACACATTCTATATATGAAGGTGTGCATTTTTACAGCTTACACTTATTTAGGGTCCTGTTTTGATGCCCAAACTGCCTTTCCTACATTAGCACTTAGCCCTCAGTGTCTGTAACAGAGCCAATGGCACTTCTCAAAAGGGCTTTTTCCTTTGCCCCAGTCTCACTGTAGGTGATCAAAGCTCATCACAGGCACAGCAAGGCACAGTATAAACCATGGCTTTTGTTGAGCCAGCCAGCACAGAGTGATTTCTTGGCAGGAATATAATTTAATACCCTTTAAAGAAGTCATTTGCTCTGCCTGCTTTTAGCACCTACTGCAGGAGGTTCAGGCACTGCATGGATAAACAATGCAGGGGAAAGAGAAGGAAAATGCATAAGGCCTGAGGGGCAATTGCATGAGGGATGCCCAAAATCCCTGCCTGCTCTGCTCCCAGAGGGGAAGGAGGTGGCCAGGTTAGAGTCCCCAATGCCTGGGGGCAACTTGGGTGATGCTCTTACTCCACACTACTTTTAGGTGTAGAACTCAGTGTGATAAAATGCACTGCACATTTCAGACTGCAACATGTCTAGCCCAGTCTTGATTTCGGGGTTGAACAGTTATTATCAATGAATATTCCACAAAAACGTTAGATTTTTATTTTGTGTCTATTTCTGAGTGCCTGCACTCATTCACTTGATCGTTTCCTGACAACTCCCCAGGATTTCTGAAAACACTGGACTGACCAGCACACCTAACCAGGCCAGTAAATCAAATATCCCATCACACCAACAGGCCAAAAGGTCTGGTGTCCTGCCCCCGGCAAGAGCCATTTCCTGGCATTTTAAAAGGAGGAGGAGGAGGAGAGGAAAGTCTTAATGACCCCAGAGAGCCCCTCCTAAAGGTGTGGGACTGGAAAAAGGCCTTTCCAACTCCCACGCCACAAGTTTTTCTTGTTTAACATCACTTGATACTTTATCTTTCTGTAACTACATGTTACAGTTATTGCAAAAGGGTTCATTCAGGCTTTCACATTTTTTCCTCAGCTCCCAGTTTTAAGGGAAAGGTTTTGTCCTGAGTGCAGCAACACATTCCTGTCCATTCCAAAAGGAATAATCTGACTGCCACAAACCTTCATCCACTATCCACACACCAGCTCTAACACAGGCCAAAGCACACCTTCCAAGGAGCAAATTCTAGACTTTTCCCTTATCCTGCTGCTGTCACCACCTGCAGCTCCCCACCAGCCCCTACCCATTCCCAGCACCACCAGTGCCCACCCTGGCACCTACAGAATTGGCATTATCTATACATGTATGTGATTAATACAGATATCACAAAATATCTGTGGATATTGGATGGGACCCACAAGGATCATCCAGTGCAAATCCTGGCCCTGCACAGGACACCTCAACAATCCCACCCTGTGCCTGAGAGTGTTGTCCAAATGCTGAGCTCTGGCAGCCTTAGGGCTGTGATCACTGCCCTGGGGAAGCATCCCAGATCCTCTTAGGCAGGTCTAAATCCTCCATTCCGAATTGTCCCCTCTTCCTCCACCTTGTTCTTTGCAGAGCTGCTGATCTCTTTCCATACCTTCCCATCCTGGCATCCCATTCCCATCCTACCTCTGGCCTCTCCTCTGTCGCTCGCCTCTCCACCAGATTCCACATGGAACCACAGAATGATCGGGGTTGGAAGGACCTTAAAGTCCATCTTGTCCCAGACCCTGGCAGGGACACTTCCCACTACCCCAGGGTGCTCCAAGCCATGTCCAACCTGGCCTTGGACACTTCCAGGGATCCAGGGGCAACCATAGCTTCGCTGGGCACCCAGTGCCAGGGCCTGCCCACCCTCCCAGGGAGAAGTTTCTTCCCAATATCCCATCTAACCCTGCCTTCCATTAGTGTGAAGCCATTCCCCCTTGTCCTGTCACTCCATGCTCACTACATCCTTCCCCCTAAGCGCTGCACCCCATTCTGTACCCACACACTCTCAGCCCCCCAAATATTTCCGCTCGAGCCACAGACCCCTCTCTCCCAGCCAACCCCACAGCTCCAGGCTCATCCCAGATCCTCTCCGATCCCAGAGTCCCGAACCCCCCAGGCCAGCCCTACTCCACAGCCACCCCAGCCCCCCGCGGCCGCTCCCATCCCACCGCCCTCCCCACCTTATCCATGAGCTTCCAGCACTTCTCCACCATCTTCTTGTCCACGGCGCCGGGCTGGTGCGGCCCGAGGTGGTGGTGGTGCGGCTGGAACGCGTCCTTCATCAGCCCGATGAGCCCGCCGGGGCCCTTCTTCAGCGGCGCCGACATGGGGGCGCCCACACCCGGCCCGTGGGGCCCGTCCGGCACCGGGGCCGCGGCCCTGGAGGGGACCGGGCTGAGGGCGCTCCGGGCCGGGCCGGGCCGGGCAGGGCGGCGGCGGCGGCGGCCGTGGGCGGTGGCGGCGGCGGCGGCGCCCGGTTCCAGCGAGGCCCCGCCCTCCTCGCCGGCGCTGATTGGCCGCCCGCCCCCCCGCGCGCCCGGACACGCCCCCTCCGCCGGGGAGGAGCCGGCGCTGATTGGTGGAGGAGCGAAGCGCGTGCGCAGTGAGGCGGAGTGAGGGCGGGGCGGCGGCCATGCTTGGTGCGGGCGGGGCGGGGCGGGGCGCGGTCGCCATGGGAACGCGGGGGCCGCGCTCGCCCCGCCGCCCCCGGGAGGGACCCGCGGCCTTCTCGGCCCTCCCCGTGCCCTTCGCTGAGCTTGCGAAACAAGGATCGCTTCCCCTTTCCTGAAGACGCGTTCCCTTTTCTAAGAATGGCCCGGACGCGGGGAAGCGGCGCTGCACCCCCCCTCTCCCAGAGAGGGATGTGCCCGAGGCAGGAGCAGCACCGGCATCCCCATGGCAGGGAGGGAATGGGGACGGGACAGCGTCCAGTGCACCGGGCAGGTACCTGAGGCATCTCCCGGCAAAGCAGGGGGAGGCGGAACCCACCAGAGCTGAGTCCCTGTTCCAACATCCCGGCTCCAACGGGAGAAGGAGCAGGAGCAGGGCAGGGAGAGCAACAGGAAGAGAAAAGAGGACCCAGGAGAGAAAATGTGATCGGGCAGTGAAATGGGGCCAGGGAATGAAAAGGGACCAGAGAGTGAAAAGGGGAGCAGGGAGAAAAAAGGGGACCAGGGAATCTAAAGGGAACCAAGGAGTGAGTTTGTCAGAACTGACACCACCAAACTTTCAAAAAATTACAACGTGGGTTTGAAAGTCAGTTGAGTTCTGTTTCTTTGCTGCCTTCAGATCCTCTTTTCATCTCCTCTCCCAGGCAGAAAGACACATCCTTTTGCAAAAACCAGTTGTGGCTGGTACTACACGGCATCAGCCTCACCACAGGGGCTGGACGGGAAACCAGGCAAAGGAAAACTGTAGGTGCTGCAGTTCTGCAAATGTGAGCACCCCAAACTCGGGCCTGGAGGTTGGACAGCACAGCCTCAACCTCTGGATCCAACCTCCTGGAGAAAGCTTTGCTTCCCCTGTAGCACCCACTTGCTGAGGAGCAAGATGGACACAGCATCCAGAACAGCAGGAAGCAGCACTAAACACAACAAGGGAGCCCGGCATGGATTGGTTATAAAACTCCCTGCTTTCATTTTATTGCCTTTGGTAAAGCTTGGTAAATATTTCTGGGACAGGCAACTCCTCGTCTGGCTTTAATTACCTGGGCAAATTTTCCTAAGGATTATATTGACCTCAAATATGTCAACGTTTATTGAGGCCGTGTTCCTGAGGCTTTTCCCATTAGGTGCTAATGGATTCTGGCTAATAGTCAAGCCGGATTGACCACCAGCAGGTGCCCTGGCCAGCTCCACGCTACCACAAGTACCTGGGGGAGAACTGGGGAGGGCAACACTGGCTTTGTGAGAGCCAAGTACAAAAATCACCATGGCTCTGATCCAAAGAGATCAGGGAACACGCTTGAGTAATTGCATTCCTGCCTATCTGCTTCTCTGGGCATGATTCATTCCACGTTGGGGCTGTAGCTATGTGTGAGACTTCAAGCAAAGGTTGATTTTGCTCGGGATTGTTCTGGCTGTCCCACTTGGGACTTTTGGGATGCAGGGACCCCACACCTTGGTGCTGCTGCAGGCTCCCAGCCAAGCTTTTCTCACCTCTCCCTTGACCATTCAGCCCCAAACCAGCCTGCAACTGGCCAGCCCTGCTCTCTCCTGAGCTGTCAGCTGCCAAAGGCTCTGCACAAGCACTTCTTGCAGCCCAGATGCCTGCACTGAGCTCAGAGGACAAAGAGGCAGAGACTTCCCTGCCTGTCGAGGTGATGTTCCAGAGTCGCGTTTCTGTTCGCGCTTGAGAAGGGGCCGAGGTAAAACCTCAGCCAGAGGTTTGTGGTTCTTGGCCACATGCAAAACTCCGTGCTCATTTTCACTCTCCCACGCTCGGCAGAGAGGTGAAACTTCCCCCGCTGGGATCCCCCCCGTCCCTCTCCCCCAGCATTGTCACATGGCAGGGCACAAACCGATGCTCCTGCTGTGTCACCTGCAAGGGGAACCCTCAGGAACAACCCTTGCCATGGAGCACAGAGACGCCTACAGGAGTTTGCTCTTAAATTCCTGGAGGTAACAGTGCCCAGGGGCTCTCAGGATGGCTCTCAGCCCTTACCCTCTCAGCAGCACAGCTGGAGAGCTTCCTACATCCACTGCCCAACTCCAGGCTTGGGAAGTGAGGATGGATCTGGCCCCGGGATGTGCTGCCAAGTCGCAGTGCTGTCCATAACATCACCCACACAAACAGCAATGTGGATTTGTCCTTTAATCACACCCCAAAAGGGTGGTGCAGGAACAGGGTGGTGGTGGACACTCACTGCCCACAGGTTCAGGGAGAGCATGAGAGGAGAAGCACAGGAGAGATGTCCATGCACGTGCAGATCTGAGCCAGTCCTCGAGTCCCGTGGGTCGTGGTGCAGAGGGCAGTGCCTCAGCTCTCCTGGGAGCTCCCAGAGCCTGGAGCTGGGCAAGGGCTTCAGTGCAATGTCCTGAGAAATTCCTGGAGGTAGCTGGGCAGGCAAAGACACAGGTCTGTGGTCAGGTTACAAGGAGCTGCCACTGTGGTTGGTAAAAGCTCTGAGCCAGCCTCGGTGAGCAGAGACGAGTCCCTGGGAGTGTCATGCTGTGAGCCAGGCATGGAGACACGGGAGCTGCGTGTGCAGGATCCATGCTGAGCAGTGCTGAAGCCCAAGGGGCTGGACGTGGCCTGAGTGGAGGTGCTGCGTGGGAGAGCCTGTCCAGAGGCTCCTGGGCTGTTAGAATGCCTGGCACAGCTTCGTCTGTTCCTCCTGGCGCTGGCTCTGTGAGGACACAGGTTGGAGGGATCTTTCTGCCTGGCCCCTGTGGCCAGGGGACCACACGGCCTCCTCCTGGCAGCACCACAGGTGCCAGGGAAATGTTAGGATGGGCACAACAGGAGGGTGGCAGCACTCAGAGCACTGCCAGGCTGCGAGCACTGCCCTCAGGATTTACCTGTATGATCTCTATACTGTTGGCAGCAGCCATCAGCCAGGACACAGGTCCCTTGGGTGCCACCTCCACGTCACAGAGTGCAGGGGAGCCACTCCGGGAGGGCAGGGAGGGCGTGCAGGAGCCTGAGGCAGGGTCACTGTCCTCAAAAAACTGCAGGGGGGACAGCCCAATCTGGAAGAGCAGAAGAGGGATGGACACACAGCCTCTGTGGAGAACACCCATCCCACCGTGCAGCCTCACAGCACCCCAGGGCTCCCCAGCCAGAGCAGGACCATGCCCCCAGAACTTACCGAGTGGTAGAACTCATCAGCAGCGGGGTCGATGACCAGCAGCGTCACCTCATCCTCCCGGGCGCGGATCCTGTCCACGGTCTGCTCGTGGTCCAGCCCCTCGATGCTCTCCCCGTTCACTGCCAGCACTCGGTCCCCTTCCTTCATCCCTGCCTGCTCGGCTGGCAGCCCCGCATCCACATCCCACAGGAACTGGCCTGCCACAGCGGGGCACAGCGAGGGGGAGAGGCTCGCAGAGGGAACTGCCTCTGCTGACCCACGTGTGCAGGTGGGGACAGCTGGGGACAGGCACAGAGCTGTCACCTCTTCCCAACCCTCACAAATGCCTCGCTCAGCTACAAACTGCCCCTCTCAGCCCCCTCACCTACTCCCCCCGAGCTGCAGTCGTCCTCCTTGAGCAGGAACCCGTAGCCAGCAGGACCCTTCACCAAGTGCAGCTCCCGGACCTTGAAGGGGAGCCTGGAGGTGTCTGCCAAGGCAGCCGTGACCCGCAGGCCCCGCAGGCGATAAAACTCCTCCACGGCGCTGGATGCCACCAGCAGTGTCACCTTGTTGCCACTCTGCTTAAGCTGCATGGGAAGCACAGGGTGCTCAGTGACATTCCCAGCCCCATCCCTCGCCCCCCACGCCAGGATCAGGCACCTTTCTGGTGAGCTGTGTGTGGGAGTAGCTCTTCACGCTGTCCCCGTTCAGTTCCAGCAGCCAGGAGCCCGGTGGCACCCCTGCTCTGTCTGCTGGCCCGTCCTGCAGCACCGACAGCTGGAAGGTGCCCTTGGTGCCTGCAGGAGGAGCAGAAGGGGCACTTTGGGATGAGTGAGGTGCTACAATAGGGAGGCTTGTGGTGGCAGCATCTTGCTTTACCTTCTGGACACGACACACTGAAGCCAAAGCCGCTTTTGTCCCTGGTGACGTGGCAGAGGCGTGGGCGGATGTCATCTGGCAGCATCTGGGACAGGTCCCTACCCAGGGATTTGGCTGCTTCGTAGGAGTCACCATCCAGCACTGCCAGCAGGACCTGGTTCCCGCTGGCCTTGATCTTCTGCACCACCTGGAAGGACCCAGGCTGTGAGCCCTGGGCAGGCACCCCTCTGAGGGGGTGGGATCAGGGTCCCTGGGGTCAGCAGGGGTCATGCATCCTCTGTGCCCCTGGCTGGGGAGGACCCAGGCGTTCCCATGGCATGCTCCCAGCTTACCCTCAGGTGGTCCATGTGGTCCACGAAGTGGCCATTGACCTGGAGCAGCCGGTCCCCGTCCTGCAGCCCCCTGCGCTGGGCCACCCCCCCCATCTCAATCTGCCGGATGACATGGCCAGGGCAGACCAGCTCCTCGTGCAGGCAGAAGCCGAAGGTCTCTGTGCTCTCCTTGGTCAGGAGGTAGAAGCGGGGCTCTCCCACGCTGTCACCATCTGTGTGGGGGCACAGCCCGTGAGCAGGGCTCTGCAGGGATCCTCACACAAGTTCTCCACCCCACCCTGGGCTGGGGATCTGCTCAGCCCTTCTGTGTTCACCTCCCACAGGTGTGAGAGAGCTCAGGACCCCAGCGGTGCCCAGGTGCCACAACCCCGTGCAGACACAAGGACACGCAGGTGCCACAACCCCGTGCAGACACAAGGACACCCCGGGAGATGAGGGCGTGTATTTACCCGTGTCCTCAGTCAGGGTCAAGGCAGGGTTGTCGATCCCAACTTTGGGGTTAAACT